CGGTTTATCAGTTTCTGCTAAGCTAATTATTTATTTATTGCTAAGACTTTCTTACAATAACCAAAATGACACATACAGTACGTGCATGGGCATCACCAGACAGAGCACACAAAAATAACAGTTATAACAGCAAAGACATGATTAGAGCCCAACTGTGGAATAGTTCACAATGCTCATGCACAAGTTCTAAGTCAAGCTAAAGCATCAGAAAAAAGCCAGCTAGTTTCCATGATATGATCTTGAGTATATACCCATCATTTTCAAGGTGAACATCAGGAATTGCTTTAGAGTCCTTAACCTCACTGAAAGAGAACCAGAGGAATTGTAGAATTAAATCAAAGACATTATTAAGGAGGAATATGAAAAGAGATTGCAAAACACCAAGAAACAGAAAAAAGCAAAGTGAGTTTCAAAACAGATGGTAGAAACTGGAAAGAAGGTAAGTGAAGCCAAAGCCAAGAAATTAAAATATATTCATGCCATTTTCATTTGTTTTATTATTTACAAGAATATGTTAAGTCATACATCAAAAGCAAAGTATCTGCATTATGGAATAAAGAATGGTGGATGCCATTTACTTGTGTCATTACTTGTTTCACAGCAAATTGGGATTCTTTGGGAAAAAGTGGAGGAATGCCAATATTTTTGGCTTCATCTGTATCTACAGAAATATGGGCAAGCAACAGAAGTATCTGTAAAAGTTGTAACTAAATTATGCCAGCAAATCTGGAGAACAGCATAGTGGCCAAAAGATTGGAAGAAGTCAGTCTACATACCAATACCAAAGAAAGAAGACTTAATAGAGTATGCAGGCTGTCCCACAATATCCTTAATTTCACATGCTAGCAAAATAATGCTTAGGATCATCCAATGCAGATTAGAGCCCTACATGGAAAGGAAAATGCCAGATGTTCAAACTGGTTTTAGAAAAGGCTGAGGAGCAAGTGATATTATTACTGAGTGAAGGAGTGAAACTAGGCTTCATACTTGAGGGAGGCAGAATTCAAAGATGAACTGAGGAATAAAATTCAGGGAGCACAATGAAATTAAATATAAAGAAGACCAAACTAATGACAACAGGTACAGCCACCAGCCTTAGAATTGACAATGAAGATACTGAAGTGGATAGCTTCTGCTTTTAGGATCGATCAACTGTAAAGGAACCAGCAGTCAAGAAATATTCCACAGACCTCCAGTTTGGGGAAAACAAAATCCACATCATTGAGGGATTCCCTCAGCAGCAATCAGCACAGCATCCTCCATCAGCCCAGCCAATTCCAATCTTTCAGTACCTTCCTTCCTTCTCTCTGCTCAGCTGCTGCCAATGTTCCAGTTTGGGATACCCCACTGGCCCAACTCTACCTGAACACCATTTCCTTTTTTTCCTAGCCATCACCACTACACCAATGGCCAAACATTGTATATCAGCAGCCTGGCCTGGTATTCCAAGAATTATCTCCTCCTTTCTCTCAGCCACTGCCAATGACCCAGCAAATTATAAACCAGTGGCCCACCTACCTCTCCCCACAAATTCCTCAGTGCCTTCCCTTCTCCCTTCAGTTGCTTCCACCAACATCCATAGCTTTTTTTCTCTCCCCTCTGTATTAGAAATTACATCTGCCAAGAAGAACCATATTTTAGTTTATGTACAGAACAAAACTGCTCCATTTTGTTCCATATATAAATCAAAATATCAAAAACACACATCTTTTGGCTTGGGCAGGATCACCTGAAAAAACATGTTTCATGCATGGAGCAGTTTATGTGTGAAATGTTTTGCACAACCCTAGTTCCAGCAATTGACCTTGAGAACCTCTCCTGCTCTCTCTTTATGTCTTGCCGAGATGTGAGGTAGACAGACCTATATCCTATAATGTAGTATTTGACTGCAGTTCTGGTAAAGCCAACATGCAGGGATTGTAAAAAGAAATTAATTAGCAGAGCAGAAGAACACCTCCTTGTGCATATGTGGGGATTTGTTCTTAAGCTTGGACTTTTAGATGGAATGCTCCCTGGTAGTGTATCAAGTATCTATGGTTTCAATTAATAGGACTGCCCTTGAGCTATGTCTGGAGATATAGATATGTCCATGGAAATATAGATATAATTTATATATCATGTTAAGCAACAGTTATCCATGATTTTATGAATGAACTGCAGTTGGCTGGGGTTGGTACACACACTAAGTCAAAACCAAGCAAACCACATTATGGTTTAGCCTCATGTCATACAACCTGTTACCTCAGCTACAGTCTGCTATTTATAAACTGGTCATGTTTATAAATTAAACTGTGCTGTAAACTGAAATAAACATTATTCCAAAATGATGCAGCAATACAGTTGATCTATCCCTCCTTTACATAATAGTAAATTATGGGTGCTATTCAATTGCTTCCTTGTCGTTTGATCAGGAATGATAAAATTTCTATTGTTCCATTTATATCAGCTGTGTTGTTTAGTATTTAAGTAGTGTAAACGGTATGCACTTTAGACCTACCTGTTGAATGAGAAATGACTCCCAGATATCATCTTCTGTTTTATATACCTTTCATTAACAATCCCAGATGGATTTTGATCCTTTAGAGAAAATCATAATTTTTGTTTTTTCAAAATTTATATCCAACTATTGTTCTCTACAGTAAAAAAATAGAATCCTCACTACCCTCTTTAGCCCTATTGATGATTGAGAAAGAATTACTGTATCATCAGTATTTAATAGTAATATAAAATGTGCCTAGTGACTTGATAGCACATTGTCATCATCATGATCATGTGTGATTTTAGATAGATGAAATTCCAGCTGAATGTATTTGTGGGTGTGACTGAAAGCTTGCTTAAAATTGACAAAAGCTGCATAAAAAGCAGACTTGGGCTTCTGAGTATACTTCTCCTCTAGATGATTTAATATTAGGCACTAATCAACCGAAGTCTAAAGCTGGCTTGTCTTCCTGCCAGGGCAGTTTTTGAGTTCAACCAGTCTGGCAACTTCCAGTACAGCTCTCTGGCATAGATTCTGCTGAGTAGACTGAATGGATGATAATTAGCAGAGCAGCCTCTGTTACACTTCTAAAAATAGGAATACTAGACCCGATCATTTGGCATTCCAGCGGTGCTATCAATATACATAAAAAGCATGTTGGGACAGTGATCCACCATTTAGGATTGCTTTTCATCAACCTGGGAGGGATGGAGTCCATTTTGGCTGCCTTGCTAGGTGTTAGCTGGCTGATCAGTCTTTAGTTGCCTTTGACACCATGACTGATGAATGATTCAGCCTCTGTTGGGGGCAGTTTTTCTGCTGTGCATGTAGCTTATAGAAGTGACTTTCTCACATTGCTTATGGGATATGGCACTCTAACTGTGATGGCTAAGTATTCAGATGAAGTAGAACCAATCTCAAAAATAGAGTAGAATCATTAAATTTGGCTGCTGAAATCAACTGCATCCATCCTTCCGTTAAAGCATTTCTGTATTTTGTTGCTATCAGTTGTTTATATTTATTCGTACAATATATGACCCTAGAATGGAGGTTATAGATGATATGTAGATAGTGACAGGTAGCAACCAGGACTTTCTCTACTTTAATACAGCCATGATCAAACTGGGGCTCTGAATTGTGTAAAGGTGTGTGTGCTTGCTTATTGTAGTTACTTATCATTTCCTGAAGCAATGATCAAAACACAAGATTACATTTGTCTATACATAATTGAGTATAAGTGCTTGTGGCTGATATTTGTTTTTAGTTCATTGTGCAGTTTTGCTGTTTTCTGGTTCTAATTTCCTGTCCAGAGTCACAGTAGTGAGAATGGAAGTCATATACATTGTTCAAATAAATAAATAGCCATTAAAATTAGGGATCCAACTGATTCGGGCACTGCCATGTTGCAAAAATTTGGATCTGAGGCTTGCATCTTCATGATGTTTATGCCAAATCCATTTGAATCTAAAAATCATATCCACAATTGCTTTTATCATTAATGTATGACTGTAATGGATAGGGAGAATTTGACCAGCTTAGCTTTTCAAAATCAAGCAAGATGCCAAGTAGGGAGGTACTTAAGTGCACACATTTTGCATTGGTAAGGTGTAAAAATGCTTTTCATTCTTACCTCTAAATATTAAGATGATGAGATTGACTGAGTTCCCTACTCTTTTTATTTTTGGAAAATAAACTACACATCTACTAACATATTCGTTCCAAGTTTCAACAATCAACAGGCACGGAAAACAATTCCTTCCTTTTTTTCCCCTTAAGATGACGTCTTCAAACAACTAACCCCCGAAATAGCACCTAGTTCCCATTCTTTTTTCTACGAACACCCACTTCCCGCTGTCTTCCTGGTTTTACGGCAGTACTGAAAAAAGAGTCATCGGATCAAATATTGCAAATCGCTTTACGGCAGCAGCCGCCGCTGCTGAAAGAAAAGGGAACGCGGGAGGAGAAGGAACCGGGGAGAAAGTAGCGCCTCGCCGAGGCATGCGCGCGGGGTAGGGAAAACAAAGTAATGAGGGGAGGAGTCGCTAGGTAGGTCGAGTGCGCGGGCGCGCGCAGACGGCCGCCGAGAGCGGGAAGGGTGGAGCTGGATGCTAGCGAGCGGGGTCCACCTCAGTCCCGAGCCCGGCTGTGCTGTGGGGGCGGCGGCGGCGGGTGCGATTCCCGGTGGTGGGGCCGGCGCTGCTTCCGCCGCCGGTTATAGTAGCAACA